TGCTTTGACCTTTGCTTTGAGTAAAATTCCTGAGTATGTCTATGTTGGATATGAACGTGTCCAAGTAAGACCTTATATTCAAAAACCTATGCGTTGTAATAGATGCCAAAAATTTGGACACAACTCATTACGCTGCATTGATAAGGATACAGATAAATTTACTTGCGGTAAATGTGCTGGAGCTCATGACACCACTACATGTACTGGAAACCCTTCCAAGTGTGCTAACTGTGGAGGTCCCCATTAGTCAGGTTCTGCCGAGTTCAGCAGCCTGAAGAAGGAGACTGAGATATTAGCATACATGAGAGGCCATGATGTTAGTTACCGTGAAGCCAAGAGGAAAGTTGAAGGCTTGACCAACAAGCCCAATACTTCCTACACTTCAGTAGCAACTAACAACACTCCCAGTGGAAGCAGTGTCAGTCAGGATCTTGCGGCTAAGGACAAAGAAATTGCTGAACTTAAGGAAACGGTAAAAGAATTACCGAGTCAGATTGTTGAATTAAACAAAACAATTAAACAAATTGCTGAATCAACCCAGCAAAAGCAGCAACGTAAGGAGGATGATACCAAATCACAATCTGGATTACACCTTCCCGTCCAGGCGACTCCTGTGAGGACTTCGTCTGGTTTTTGGTCTGCTCCTCGGAGCAGATCATCTTCAACCGGGCGTCTCCCTCGCAGAGAGGCGCAGGACATGGAGGCTATTGTCTCCAAATCTTCCCGCGAGAGGTCCCCGGGAAGCTCGGGAGAGGAGGCGCCTCCCTCCCAGAAAATAAGTTAAAAAAGGCGGACAAGGCACTTCTAAACCCCATAAAACGTAATCTTCGCGTTGACCATTATACAATGGAACTGTCGAAGTCTTAGAACTAGAGTAAATGACCTCAGATTATTAGCCTCGTCTTATGCTCCCGATATTATCGTCCTACAAGAAACCCATTTAAACCACCTTATTTCCGATGATTTAGTTTCGTTGAGATACTACCATCTATGTCGGAAGGATCGAGAGGGTAGGGGTGGAGGCAGAGTCGCCATGTACATCCACCAAAACCTCCCTTTTTACAGAAGTGACTATAGATTCTACTTTAGAGATAGTTGCATGCAAAGTAAAAGTCAATAGCACGTATCTGGCTATATGTTCAGTTTATTGTCCACCTGACAATGTGGTAATTTATGATGAGCTCTTTGCTCTTCAGGATAGTCTGCCACAGAATAAAGTAATTTTAGGTGATTTTAATGCTCATCATACATTATGGGGTTCCCTTCGGGTGGATGGTAGAGGTGAGCAATTAGTTAAGCTTGTTAACGATTCAGATTTAATCCTTCTGAACCATGGTAGTCCAACGCGAGTGGACGATGTAGTGTGATCCGTCTAACCCAGGGGTCCCGTCCCAGTTCATCAAGGCACTCTTAGAATTCTGCCCTCCCTTGATGCTGGCGGGGGATACAGGCGCAAATAGACCTGGTTAACCCCTGTCAATTCAATCCCCTCAAGTGGTAGCGTGGGGGGAAACTGAATCATTAATAGGGTTGTTCCAGTGTGAATACCACTTTCTGACGTTCAGCCTAACCATATGGTAAAATACATACTAAAAAGTAATGTAAGAAAAATACAAAAGTAAAAGAATGTGCTAAAGGCACCTAAAATCACGGACTGTCGTATGCAAAAACTAAAAGGGAAGACCCAGAGTGGAGAGCCTGGCTGAAGGCCTTACCATAAAAGGAAAACTAAAACTAAAAGATCACTCAGACTTCCTACTTTGAAAAGTTAAGTTACAAATTAAACAAAGAGAAAAATACCAGCCAAGTTCATTTAAAAGTAAATAAATAAATAAAAATATGTTCTAATTATTCAATAAAAATGTTCTTCAGAGAAAGAATGTCAGGATCTCAGTACTTAACTTATTATCTTCCGTGATTGTCTCTGTGTTCAACAAATATGGCGACACTGCCGGTGGTTTAAAGCTTCGGAGGGTAACGAAACACATTCGTTGTCTCGACTCGTACTGTTTATTTCTTACTTTTTCAATGCCCGGTGACGTCAGAGGCCAACCATTTTTACAAAATATATTCTCATAATAAATGAACTAAAACTGTGCATAAAAATGAGCAAAAATAAAACTAAAAGTAGAAAATAGAAATCACAAGAAAATAAAATACAATAACTAAAATAAACGAATAAACACTGTATGTAAAAATGCTTCCCCTACAACTTAAAATGAAAACTAAGTAAAAACGAGACCTTAAAACTTTACTGAATATAAAAAAAAAAAAACTAAAATGAATAAAAGCTAAAGATAAAAGGGTCATAAAAATGTCTCGTTAAATCATAAATAAAAATGTTAAAAGAAAACACAATAAAAAGGGGAAACTAAAATAAAACAATAAAAGTCAATAAAAACGAGAAAAAACAACCCAAAAAACTGAGGCGAGACACATAAATAATCCTCCCTAGCGCATCGAAGTAACAGCAATCCTTGATCCAGCATGGCACATAGCCTGGGCGTACTGGACCAAGGTCCCTAGCACATCGAAATAACAGCAATCCTTGATCCAGCATGGCACATAGCCTGGGCGTACTGGACCAAGGTCCCTAGTGCATCGAAGTAACAGTAATCCTTGATCCAGCATGGCACATAGCCTGGGCGTACTGGACCAAGGTCCCTAGCGCATCGAAGTAACAGCAATCCTTGATCCAGCATGGCATATAGCCTGGGCGTACTGGACCAAGGTCCCTAGGGCATGCGTATTGTTTGACGGGTTGTTTGCAGGAGACGCCACTGGCGGGTACATACAGGTGTTGCTTGCCCTGTATCAATCCTGTGCTGAATGCCTGGGATGTGGCCCACAGTATCCTCACCTCCATCAAAAAGGGTACTGTAACTACACAGAAGTCTCAGCAACTCCTGGCGTTGATCTTCTCCTAAGTGATCCAGATCAGGCATCTGGTATTCAGTCTCCAAGGGCAATGGGTAATCTGGGATATTAGCAGCTTCGATTGCGGCAAGGGCTTGTGATGGCGGAAGATCATCAGCAACATCAGTGGCAGTGCTGCCATAACCAAAATCCTCTATCACAAAGGTTCTGTCAAACTGGTCTTCCTCCCACTGGAAATCCTCATCTTCCCTTTTGTCTTCACTCAAATCTGGATAAGCAGAATTGCAGGCATTGGAGTCGGAAGTCTCGGAGGCTGAGGTTTCTGTCGTAAAAACAGCCTCGACAGCAGATACCATCCCCAAACATGTCCCTTGTGTTAATCGAATTGGCCTTGTGCTGTTGACTGCCCACACAGGGCATCGCCGTCTAGAAACAGTACTCAGCACAAACGGTGATATGCACACAGCTGTTACTTGCGGTGTAAACAAAACATCCCCATCATCAGAACAAGACCTTGCCACTACACCCTCCAAGAAACGCACATTGTGTGGTGGAAGCTCTGTAGTTCGGTAAAGGTGCACAGCGGAAGGTGGACACGGGAAAAGCGGCTCTCTTCAGCATTCACTGGAACTTCTGGTGTGGTCACTCTCACTACACTCAGCTGCAGGGATTGGGCATCAGTATAATTCACATGAAACTCCTGGCCTTCTAAAGTCAGGCAGGCGCTGTCATCCTGGGACCTTGAGGACAGGTTAAAGGTGGTTCTTCTCAAAAAGTCCATCCCCAGGAGTATGTCTCCAGGAAATCTTACATCACACACAGTGACCGTATGGTGCATTTCAAGGTCTGAGTTAATGCAGAAAACAAGGGTTACCTCACTCAGGGTGTTGATTGGTTGACCAGACACGCCTCACAGAATGCTGTAAGTCTTCCTCCAACGTAGGTGGTTATGAGGATCAATCCGCTTGAGAGCTTGGGGTTTAATAATTGTTGCTTCGGATCCTGTATCAATAAAGCAGCGGACTGAAGAACCACTAACATTGAGTTCCGCAACTGGCCGTCCGGTAGGCCCTGTCACTGCCATTCCCTTCTTGAGAGGTAACGTCTCCACGTGAGGTGCTCCTTGGATCGAACCTGCCAGCGGTTCCTGGAGCTTGGTCACCCTGGCGCTCACGAAAGGGGCAATCTCTCACCAAATGTCCTGGACCTCTGCAATGGTAGCATCGTCGTCGCGGAGACTGTGGATCTAGGGTCTCAGCCCTGGCTCTGCACTCAGATGTACCGTGAGTTCTTACCCGATGCTCACACCACCTCTCCCTGACAGGTGATCGATGATAAGGTGGACTGGAACGCTCAGCAACTACCGGCATAGCATACAAATCCCGACCCCGTGGAGGGCGATTAGGGTGGTAGGGATTTTCCTCTGCTGAAGTATCACTATGCCTTATGCCATTGCGTGAATTCCAGATGCGCTGTGCTGTTTCGGCTATCTGGGTTGGGCTACCATCTTCTTTAACAGAGAGGAAGTCTTGGAGCCATGCGGGGATGCCACTCAGGAAGACCCTCTTCACTAGTTCGGATGGATCACCAATGGCCTCGCGGTGATCCCTATATCCCTGATAGACGTGCCCTTCCAACTGCAAAAAGAAGTCCATTGGTGCTTGGCTTGGTGTCATCCGCATGTCGTATAGAACCTTGTAGAAGTCCGAGGAGGTGTAGGTACCTTGGAACTTACTACGGAGAGCTGCCTTGAATGTGTCCCATTCTGTGATCGAGTCGAAGAGAGGGGAATTAATGATTAGCTCGGCTGGACCTCTGCAGTTTGCCCGCGCTGCCTGAATGAACATCTCTGATGTGGCTGGCTTCACAATGTTCTCAATTGTCCGAATCCAACTCTCTATTGCTTGGTTCTTTTTGAGCGGCTGTGAGGCGGAAGTATCCCCCTTGAAGTGCGGGACAGTTTCCTTCGTGAACACATAGGAAAATGGTGTGCCAGACAACTGAGACGAAGGATGTGCTGACTGGGGACGCTGAGGCGAAGACCTAGGCCGGAACTGCTGTGGCAGGGATGTTTGTGGGTCATATGTGTGTCGACGTTCAGGATACAGCTGCTGCTCTGGTATTGGAGTGTGGGGGCGGCTCCGAGGAAGAGGCTGAGGAGAGTGGCTTCCATTAATGACAGGAGGCTGCTGATGGTGGTCTTGACACCTAGTCATGGTATGTTGTACTGAGGGGGCGAGACGGCGGACCTCTGCTAGCTCCTGGTCCCGCTGCTGAAGTTGACGACGAAGCTCTTGAATCTCTCGGTCTTGGGCACATTCCATGGGTGCTGGTGCAACACCTGACCCCTGTAGTCGTTGGCGGGCCTCAGTCAGCTCCCTGTTCCGTTCCTCTAGCTGGCGGCGGAGCTCCTGAATTTCCTGTTCTCGGGTATGTACCACAGGCACGGGCGCAGCGTAGTTGAAGGCGGGTCTCCTCCAGCTCCCTGTTGCGTTCCTCCAGCTGGCGACGGAGTTGCTGAACTGGATCCTCCTGGTCTAGTTCTCTCTCCTGTGGCTGATGGAGGTTACTGTCTGCTTACTGTTCTTGATCTAGAGTGCCTTCCTGCATGCGATGTTCAAAGGCCTCTTTATGGCGCTGTAGTCGGGCATCATTCTGCTCCTGGTACTCCCATACCTCTGCAACTAGAGAGTTGATCTTCTCCATGATCTGGTCAAACATGGTTACTTCTGTGACCATCATCTGGACAGCCTCGCGTACATCCGGGTTAGAACCACCTGGTATGCGGCGTGGTGTTGGGGAGACTTCACGGGATGTCGGCTGGCTGCTCATCTGGACGTTTCGACGCTGCTGGAGTCTCTGGTATCGCTCCTGCCTCTCCCTGCTGTTCGGCATGCCAGGAACGCAGCAACCAAATACTTGGAGCTCTTCATGTACAAATACAAACTACTACTGGCGGAAAACAGAACCAACACACAACTGACAATCCACTGGATCACAGAGATACCAGAGTTCATAAGCGTAAACTGCTGCACAAAGCAAAGAGCACAAGCATTGCACAAAGCAAAGACGCTGCACAGAGCAAAGACGCTGCACAGAGCAAAGACGCTGCACAGAGCAAAGACGCTGCACAGAGCAAAGACGCTGCACAAAGCAAAGACACTGCACCACCAAAAGTCAACTGGCTGGGGATAAAAGGGTTAATAGAAAATAAATGAAAACATCCTAAACTAAGTGAGCCACAGTAAAACTAACTAGGCGAGCTGGCGATTAACAATAAAAGAATCTAACTCTGAAAGAGAGAAGGTAAAAAAACTGAAAGAAAAAGGCCAAGCTCTAAAAACTACCAAAAGTAAAAACTAAATACCCTGAAAACCTGTAAAAGCGGGAAAAACAGTAAAACATAGAACACAAACACCAAAAGTAAAAGAAATGGCTCACCAACGACTACTTAAAAGCATGCATGACATAAAATATAATGCTGGACATCTCAACATCAGACAGTGATTAATCAAGAGCGTTAACTGATTCACTGGAACATCTCACCGCAAAAGCCACCAAATCCCACCCGTTGTAGTGTGATCCGTCTAACCCAGGGGTCCCGTCCCAGTTCATCAAGGCACTCTCAGTATTCTGCCCTCCCTTGATGCTGGCGGGGGATACAGGCGCAAATAGACCTGGTTAACCCCTGTCAATTCAATCCTCTTAAGTGGTAGCGTGGGGGGAGACTGAATCATGAATAGGGGTGTTCCAGTGTGAATACCACTTTCTGACGTTCAGCCTAACCATATGGTAAAATACATACTAAAAAGTAATCTAAGAAAAATACAAAAGTAAAAGAATATGTGCTAAAGGCACCTAAAATTACTAACTGTCGTATGCAAAAACTAAAGAAAAGACTTCCAGACTTCCAGGCTGAAGGCCTTACCTTAAAACAAAGACAAAACCAGCAAGTCTGCCGTCAGAGCTGAAAGCTTAAAACCCCTTAAACCTAAAAGAAAAAAAATGCGACAGTATAAAACCTGAGTCTGGTGACAACGAAACAGGGAAACTAAAACTAAAAGATCACTCAGACTTCCTACTTTGAAAAGTTAAAAGTTACAAATAAAACAAAGAGAAAAACCAGCCAAGTTCATTTAAAAATAAATAAATAAAAAGGATGTTCAAATCATTCAATAAAAATGTTCTTAGGATCACGTCCAGCTCCTATGCAAAAGAATATCAGGATCTCAGTACTTAACTTATTATCTTCCGTGATCGTCTCTGTGTTCAGTTCAATAAATATGGCGACACTGCCAATGGTTTAAAAGCTTCGGAGGGTAACGAAACACATTCGTTGACGTCTCGACTCGTACTGTTTATTGTTTCTTTTTCAATGCCCGGTGACGTCAGAGGCCAACCATTTTTACAAAATATATTCTCATAATAAATAAACTAAAACTGTGCATAAAAATGAGGGAAAATAAAACTAAAAGTATAAAATAGAAATCACAAGAAAATAAAAACAATAACTAAAATGAACGAATAAACACTGTGTGCAAAAATGCTTCCCCTACAACTTAAAATGAAAACTAAGTAAAAACGATACTTTAAAACTTTACTGATTGTTAAAAAAAAACTGAAATGAATAAAAGGTGAAGATTAAAGGGTCATAAAAATGTCTCGTTGTTAAATCATAAAGAAAAACACTCAGAGAAAACACACAATAAAAAGGGGAAACTAAAATAAAACAATAAAAGTAAATAAAATCGAGAAAAAAAAAAAACGAAGTGAGACATGCGAGACAATCCTCCAACACGGCAGTCAGAGCGGGAGAGCAGAGAGGATGAGATGCAGCATCCAAGACAAACTTACAATAGATACATAGATATTTAGGGAGGGAGAGAGAAAGAGACTATGAGAGAGAGAGAGAGACAAAGAGAAATGCACACACATACATGCACACAAATAAACACACAGACGGGCGCGCGCAGATACATATAAATGTGTGTGTGTGTGTGTGTGTATATATATATATGTATATATACTAGTATATATATTATATATTATATTATATATATATATANGGATGTGTGTACTGAATGTTGGATGTGTAAGTGTGTAGATGTGAAAAGGGAGATAGTGTTGGCTGAGCATCTGCGTGGACGTGTTTGGAAGAAAAAAGCAAGATATAGAATTATTATTCTTCCCTTCGGTTTGAGCATCCGCCTGCTGGGAGCGGAACACAGGTATAGCAAAATGAATCTGTTCTTTTGATATCAGCTTAATATTCTCTGATCTATCTAGCCTTTTTGCAGCCTTTCAAGGGTTGCGTGATGTCAGAGCAACCAGC